TAACCTAAGTGGCATGAGAAACATATGCAATTGCAAATTTGTTAATAATTAATTTTAGTAATATATGTATATATAATATACACACATATGTACCTGTTCTTTTTTTTTTTTTAAGAAGTTTATCACTATGTTAACTAAAATGATCTCATATGGTATCAGGAATTTTATCACACCTTAGGACATTGAAGTAGAATTAAGAGATGCTATATTGCTTTGCTCAGGGCTGAGAGAGAGAGAGAGAGAGACCTTAAGAGGAAAGAAGGTAAGATACAGCATTATGTGCGCTGTAGATGGTCACATATGAATGGGGTGAAAGAAAGAGTTAAAAGGTCTGGAGTGGCTAAAAGCCATAACAACAAAGGGGATCTCTGTCCCCCACAGTGAGGATATGCTAGAGAAGAACGTAGTACAGCAAACGAGCAAGTACCAAGGAATAACGAGAGACTCTTAGGTCAGTGGGCTGTACTCAGACCAGAATCCATTGCAGGAGGAAGGTTTTTTATTATTATTTTTTTTTTTTTTTCATTTCCTGGGGGAGGTGTATGTCTTTTTCTTAACAAACAAACAAACAAACACTTTCTGTAACACTTTTGTTGTGAAGCAAATACTACCTTCTGTTCACTTTTTCATTCTGTCTCTGACACTATATTTGTTACTTAGGAAACAGCAATAAAGACAAATTTTGATTGAATGTAGTGTCATCCTAATTACCAAGAGTTGGGAGTATCCTGAAATAGTGACATATGAGACAATGTGATATAAAAAATCATAGAATGTTCAATTAAAAATGTGGAAGTCAGAGGTCATTTAGGTCCTGAGAATCATCTTCTCATTTAAAAATATTTAATTGAGATGTATATAATTTAGCTCAGATGAACAGTAGCATTAATACAAATCAGGAGTTTTTTTAAGCTTTGAAGTAATAGTTTGAACCATATGAAATTGTCAGTATTTGCTGTTTTTAATCTGCAGATAAGACAATTTCATAGGAATCAGTCTCTCTGTAAATACTGTTGGTTAACAGGTTAATAGTTTCTACTTTAGACAAGGGGGAATGAGACCAAGGGAGAGACAGAAACACATTTTATTCCATTCTCATCTGAATTATCATTTTTTTAAAACAAGGGCCATGAGAAGGATATATTCATATACTACTTGGTTTCATAACAAAAAACAATAACAACTAGCTTTTCACAAAATGGCTAGATTAAAAAAAATAGACATTTCTTCTTCCTTCCTTTCTTTCTCTCTCTCTTTCTTTCTTTCTTTCAAAGTGAGGCACCTGGGTGGCTCATTTGTTAAGTGTCTGCTTTAGGCTCAGGTCATGATCCTAGGGTCCTGGAATAGAGCTCCTCATCTGGCTCCCTGCTCAGTAGAGAGTCTACTTCTCCCTCTGCCCCTTCCCTTGCTTATCCTCTTGCATGTGTTCTCTCCCTCTCTCAAATAAATCTTTTTTTTTTTTTTTAAGATTTATTTATTTACTTGAGAAAGAACATGAGTGGGAGGGACAGAGGGAGAGGGAGAGAGAAAGGGAGAGAGCATGGGGGAGCAGCAGAGGGGGAGAGAATGAAAGAGCATGGGGAGGGGGCAGAGGGAAAGGGAGAGAGGGGGAAAGAGAGGGAGGGAGGGGGGACGGGGCAGAGGGAGAGGGAGAGAGGGGGAAAGAGAGGGAGGGAGGGGGGAAGGGGCAGAGGGAGAGGGAGAGAGAAAGGGAGAGATTGCAGGGTGTGGAGAAGCAGCAGAGGGAGAGGGAGAGAATCTCAAGCGGATTCCTCCTGAGTGTAGAGTAGACTCGGGCTCCATCTCAGGACCCTGAGATCCTGACCTGAGCCATATCAAGGGTCAGATGCTTAACCACTGAGCCATCTAGGCGCCTCCAAAATACACATTTCTAATTCACATTATCCACAGGGCAAGTTTATTTTAATTATGGGATAGCAGACTAGAGTTACCTATTGTTTCAACTCTCTTGGTGGTTTTATTCCCTGAATTGCTGGGGGTTGAGGTGGTCCTGCTGCAGGTGGTGAGGTGGTCAGAAGCAGCTGCCAGCTAGAAGTCAAGGTTACTTCAGCACATCTTATTAAAGCAATCAATCACCTCTTTTTATCTTCCTGAGGAGATTAGATTCACATACTGCACACGTTTTTGGCTAGTTCTGACTGAGCCTTCAACTCTTTGCTCATATGCATTTTCTTGTTTTTTGTTTTCTTTAAATTCTTGCAAATTTACGTTTTTTTAATAGACAGGGCAAAATCTATGGTTAGTTTGCAATCATAGCAACTACAGAAATAAAAGTTAAAGGTAGGTATTTTATTACTGTAAAGTTAGATTTAATAAATATTTTAAAATTATGTAAGTAAATCAGGGATTGAGGCCTAGGATATTGTGGTGTAAATGACTATTCTCCACAGCTATTTTAGCCATAAAGAAACATTTCTATATTTTGATTTGAGGTTTTACTATGTCAATCATTCTAAATCTAGAATGTAAATTTATAAAAGCAATGATAAGTTCTGTAAGGAATCCATAATAGGCACCATTATATAAGGAAGCAGATGTCCCTATATGTTACTATTTTTTTTTCCAGGAAAAATGAATGAACATACTAATTCCTACAAAATCAGTGATGCTTAGAAAATCACCAGGTACAAAGTCTTGCAAACTTACCTTTGGTAAAATAGTCTAAGGAGATACTTGCAGTCCTTTGGATTAACAAGGGACATTTTCAAGGTTTGGGGATAGTAAGTAGGATGGTTTCAGCAGCTCAAGAGCAAGAATCTTCTAAAGGAAAGTTGCATTTTCTGGGCTTTCAGATGGGGTAAGCAGAATACATTCTTGTTTAGCCCTGCACTAGAGCAACACCATTATTAATTATGCAAACCTTTTTTTTTCTTTTTTTTTGGATGGGTAAAAGAACTTGACAATGACTCAGCAAGAGATTTCAAAACCAAATACCTCTACCTACTTATTGAACATGTTCTTTTCAGATCTGCTCTCTGTTCTGTGACCTGGGGTTACAAGTTTGAGATCTACAGAAGGAAGGCTCCATTACTGCATTGGCCTCTGAGAAAGCCCCAGCTTTGCCAGGAATATCAAATCAGTCCTACCTAGTCCTCCCATCTTTTTAGTCTTAGTTTAAGTGGGAAATAGATGACACTTCTTCAAGTTTAGCCTCCAATTTTTCTTTAACAACCATAAAACCTGGTCAAATCCCCTAAGCTAACTGGGTCTACCCTGTCAAAAGTATGTTGTGGATGGGAAGGTGGTTACTTTCCTATTTCCCTCTAGATGATACTGTATACTGATGGTTACTTGGAAAAGGGGGACACTTCAATGTTAAATAAAGATGTAAAGGCAACAAGATTTTTTTACAAGTCCCTGCTAAAATGACAGTTCAAGATTTAGTTGGAAAAGGCAAGTCTCCCAATCACCAGTCTGGGGGAGGAGATGTCCTCTCACCTATTTTGGAAACTACTTGCAGATGTGGGGAAACCACTGAATTGCTCACAACAGGGGTTTTGCAGAGATTTCCTCTGATTTTTTTTCCTCCCCAATTTCCCACAACCTGTGTTTGTCTTGTGTCTGCTAGGCTGACATGTGGTTTACCTCGCTGATCCTGCTGCCAGGTTTTACACGCTCTCCTCAGAAGTAAAACAACTGAAGCCGAAGGATACTGAGCGGCTCCGGGCATGGGCGCCAGAACTGTCACAGAAAATTTGCTTCCCGAGTATTCCTTCCAACTTCCCTTCCTGCGCCCACGTGAGCCATAGCGCCAGCCCATCAGCAAGGTCTTAGTGTTTCCTGCTGCTGCAATCTGTAACTTGATTTTGGATTTTTTTTTTTTTTTTTTTTTATTGCAGTTCTGGGGATCTTACTTCTTAGCAAAACTTTGTTGGTTGGGGGACTTTTAAAGCAGTCTATTTCCTTAGCCAAGTCACGAAGGCTCAGACACTCTTCCTCCATGCCCGGGCTGCACTAAGGTTAAACCGCAGCAAAGGAAAGGAACACACACCGCTGTTTATTTGGGGGGAGGGGAAGTAAAGGTTTGCAGCTAAGTTATCACGATCCCTCGCGCCACCCCCGGTCTGGCACTCTTGGCTGACACGTACATCATCTATTAAATGTTGTTCGCGGACGCAGATACATAATATATTCATTTTTATCTTTAGTAAAATATAAATGGAATTGTCAGCGCGCTCGTGTCTGTTTGTTTGTATAAGGCTATCAAAAGAAGTCAGAGAGGAGGCTGTGGCCCGGATCCTGACCCTGATTGTATGAATAAGTAAGCAGGATGCAAGTGATTGGGTTAGATGCTGCGAAGATTTTTTTTTTTTTTTTTTTCAAGTTAGGAAGAGGGTAAAAAGACGGGGTGGGGGGCAGGCAAACGGTGCATCCCCAAATCCTCACACTTTTGCTCTTTTCAGTCAGTTGCTCTGCTGGCTTCTGCAGGCTTCTAACGTCTCGCGGCATAGAAATGCCTGCCCCCCACCCCCTTCCTCGGTCTCCCCTTTCAGTTCAGATGTGCTGATGTGCAGACCGGATTCATCTTCCCCGAGCGGCGGCGGCGGCGGCGGCGGCGGCGGCGGGCGCAGGCGGCGGCGGCCGCTCGCGCTCTACCTCTCGGTCCCGGCAGCGGCGGGGGCGCGGCGCGGGAGCCGGAGCTTCGGTGGCAGCTGAGCCGGCTGGGCGCAGCTCGCCCAGCCGCGGCCGCGGGAAGTTCGGCCGCTAGAAGGACGACCTGGCAGGCAGCGAGCGCCCGCTCCGCCAGAGCCGAGTTTGCCCGCAGCTGCCCCTCCCCGTCTCCGGGAGCCAAGCTCCTCACCTGCCCTCCGCCCGCCCGCAGGCCCCTAGCCAACTTTTCCCTGCAACTGGGGGGTAACAGGCACTTCTTGCCCTCTCTACTGTCCCGACGGCACCCGTATGTCTCCGGACACCTGAACACCCCAGTGTCGCTGAGGAGCCTCCCGGCAGGGAGGGGAGCACCGGTTCCCTTCGCGCCGCACATCAGCGCGGACCGCGGACGCCTCACCTCCTGGTCCCGTCCCTTCCTTTTCCTCCAGGGGAGGAGGATGGGGTTGGAAACGCTTCCCCCGAGGATGCTCGTGTGGCTGGTGGCCTCGGGGATTGTTTTCTACGGGGAGCTTTGGGTCTGCGCTGGACTCGATTATGACTACACTTTTGATGGGAACGAAGAGGATAAAGCGGAGACGATAGACTACAAGGACCCTTGTAAAGCCGGTAAGTGCCTCTCCACGTCGGGACTGTGGCGTGCGGGGGGCTGCCGCGCTGGACTTCCGAGGGCTGGCGGTGGGAGCTCACCTGTTTCCTTCTCTCTCTCACCAGCCCCTCCGTTGCTCCATCCTTGCCCTCCTTTCCTTCTCCTCCCCACCCCCAAGTGGCAGTCGCCACGGCCCGAGTTGACTGGAGTTCTGTGCTAGTGGGATCGCATGCCAAGCTCCCGGCTCCCAGTTTGGGAAAAATGTCCAGAGTTCGGATTCCCTTCCCCTCCCCCAGCAAAATGGAATAAGCCGTAAACACAGCTGGCTTGCCGTGGGTTTTAAATACCAGCACTCAGCGGGCTATATGCATCTGGAGGGGACTACACCTCCTCTTTGTTCCAGGGTGCGGTTCCCCAATGTTCGCCTGAGACCGAGTTGGTTAGAGTTCCCCAAAAGATGGGCGGGGATGGAATTGCCACCTTGGGACACCTTTGCTCCCTTTTTTGCCAGGGATCTCAAGTGTGGGATCCAGGCGAGAAGGGAATTGTGACGACCTTGGAAACTCCCACGCTAGATGGAATTCAAATGCTTTTGCCCATTTAAAATAAACCTTAAAAAAAAAAAAAAGCTCCAAGTTGTTACCCCATCTAAACTTGCGCCTTCCTTCCTGTGTACACCCCCTGGGAACTGCAGTTTGACCTTCACGGCCTGAAGCTCAGCTTCTCCTCGTCGGTCCAGGATCGGCCCGGGACCTTCCCCTCTCCCCCGCGCGTCCAGCGCCTCAGCGTGTCTCCCCTCCCGCTCGGGGCGGTGCTTCCCTCCCGCCGCCTCAGGTCTCAGCCGCACGTGCCGCAGCCGGTGACCACGTGAGCGCAGTGTCCCGGGACTCCGGGGGCCTCCAGGTTCCTGGCCCTGCGAACTTGAGGTTGAGGTGAACCGAATTCATAGTGGACTCACGACTGACTTCAGAAGGAAGGTTACAAGGGTTGTTGGGGCCGACTTCACAGAGTTGTTCGTACGCTAAAGGCACGTTCTGTCCCGTCTCTAGAGGTGTGGGCTTTGGCGAAGCAGCTGGGAGGGGAGTGGGCAAAGCATCCAGAGTTCCTCCGTGTCTGTGGATTCTGTGCGGGCTGGGTCGGGATGTGACTGCGATTTCTTTCCCTTTCATAGCTAGGTAAACCTGACTGAACCTTTCTTGGTCCCAAAGGAAGGAGAAGTGCACACGGTGAAGGAAAATGCTGGAAATTCCCTTGTTAATTTGTACCGTTGATGACACATTGCTTTGACCAGGGGCCTATGAGTGTCTGCGCACGTTATCAGATCTTTCTTCATGCGCGCTTACTGGAGATGGTTATTCAAAACTTAGGGTAGCTTAGTAGAAACTGGTCAGTCTGGAACTCGGGATTCTGATTTAGTTCTATTTTGTTTATAAGTTTCCTCCTCTCACCTTTAACACTCAGTCTATCCCACCAGAAGTTTCTCGGGCCTTCCCTGATGGTTTGTGGAACAAGACACCTTTCTGCTGTGATGGATGACTAGTGGCTGGACAACCAGAATTCAGTACTATACAACTCCCCAAACATACATTTTACTGAGGAATTAATTTTGAATCATGTTTGCAACTGGGTGAAAATTGTGTATTTTCTTGTTTTAGGTAAAGTAATGACGTGGTTTTTCTAAAAATTGTCTAGGAAAACATCTATTCTGAGGTTCTGTTGTATGAAAGGTGCGACCAGCTATTAATATGAAAAAAACGGTGCATATGTATACATTGGCCTGATTTCAGGAAAATACAGTTTTCTATACAGATTCAAGAAAAAGTTTATGCTTTTTAAAAATCATTAATTTCAAATATGAATATAAGAAGTGTCAAAAACTAGCTAGTACCATTTCAGAAAGTATGTTTTTAAGGCTTATCTTATATTAGAAATTGTCCAGAATAAGGTTCTGTGAGCATAACTAGTTTTTTTCTATTTAAGAATGTTTTCAATTTTAAAATTTAAGTGGTTGCACCATGTGTATTGAAATCTGCCTCAAGCATGAATGTTGATTATCCTCAGCAAATAAACATCTAGGGCAAGAAAAAAAATTTTAAGCGCATTTAAGTTTTTCTTTTCCTTTAATACTGGTTTATTTTAGAGCATAACCTTTGAGTACAAGAGGCATACCTGTGTCTATGTGTATATTGTATGTGTATAATGAAAGAGAAATAAGAATGACCCAAGCGGAAAGCCGAGAAATTTATCTAAAATCTGAGATCACTTTTTAAATGATCAACCCTGCTTTTTAAATTTAGTGACATGAACGGTTTTAATTTGCCATCTTGGCTAAAGAGTGGCAACTTTTATTTTTTTTTGTGGCCTCCCTTTTGGCACTGTATAAGACAAGTAAAAGTTGTAATAACAGGAAAAAAAATAAATAGCACATTGAACTCCCAAAATAAGAGTCAAAAAAAGGTCACTAAAATAAGAAATATGAGGATGGATCTGTGAAAGAAGGCCACACAAAAGCCAGAGAGGGTGCTCTAGAGATTCTGGGGCACCTTTGATCTGCCCTTTCCAAAGAGCAGAGTGGAGGGCATGGGCCATAAAGTGTCCTTTCTGAACTTCTCTTATAGCTTTATAGATTTTAAGCACTTTTTAGTACATTATTTTAGATCAACAGCCCAATATGGTGAAACTTGTTAATCTTCCCATTACACAGATAGGAAAACAGATGCTCCCCAAGGTCAAATGGTTGTTAAGATTAACCAGAACTTGATTTGAAGTCTCCTGTCAGCAAAATCTGGCATGCAATTAGGTAGATAGATAGATAAAATAATGACGTTGTATCCTTAGCTGGCCTTTTGGAGGCCTTCCTTGAAATACAAACAATAGAAATTAGTCCAGGTTTACCTAGAATCTAGACCAATAGAAGTGCAGGGACTTTCATATCTGATAAGCACGAAATGACTAAGAAGATAGTTTCATCTTTTCCAAACCCAATTACAATATAAAGTCTTTGAAGATAGGTATCATACCTGCTTTTTAATGTTTATCCCAGTAATAGATTACCACTGTTGGTACTAGTTAGTTCTCAATTCCTTCTCAGTATCTATAGACTATAAATATTAATCTTCATCCCTTATCTACAAATTTCTATTTTAACCAGTAATGTTACCCAAGAAGAAATATTCTTAATATAAATTGTTAAAACTGTGCCATTCTTAATATATTTGTGAAATACTATAATTTTTATACCTATGAGAACTCTAATTTCAAGTTCATGAAACTATTGGGCAGAAAGGAAGCCTTGTGTTAATTGAACTTTCACTTAGAAAGCCATTTTGGTATAAGTGAAAGTAGGTAAGTTAGTGCAGTGTAACTTCAGATATATTTATATAGTCGAATCCATTAGGACAGAATTTAGGTAATTAATCTCTCTCTATATGTAGATAAACACAAAGATGCAGATAATTCAAAGAGATATCTGATTGTCTTTCTTCAGCATAGTACATAGCCACCTGAGTGTGCAATCTTACTCTCTCTAGTTCAGTTCCCTTCCTAAGGGACACTGGGAAGCTGATGCTGCAGGAAGTCATTCCAGAACAGAGACTAAGGTATCCTGTTTCAGTGTTGTACTGCTCCAATAGGTGTTAATCAGAGTATTAATATCTGGAAGAGCCTGGGCAAATTTGGTGTGCAAGGTAATCTCTCAGATTTGTCTGAAGATTACCTGGAAAAGCAGAGACCCAATAAACCAAGTCTGTATTCCCTACTTCCCCTCCCTTCCTTCTTTTTTTTTTTTTTTTTTTTGTATTTAAGGGGATATCAGGAAAGCTCGGGCAATTGAAAATAGAATATGTAATAAAGAGGACTGAAGAATTTAATGTTTTGAATGATGGGGAGAGGCTGAGGAGACCGATGACGTAAAATGTTTGTCCAGAAGCTTGTCCTTATCCCTTTGGATAAGTATGAACACCTTGAAAAAAAACCCTTTCTATCCTGAATCTTCTGAGTAAATGTCTCCTTTTCCTGGAAAAAATCCAAACATGATTAAAGGTCAGTAACTTGCAAGGTTAAATTTGCCTTTAGAGTGGCATATGCAGGCCTGTTTACCTAGAAATAGGCTTTTGGCTTCCTAAATGATTCTTCTTTCTGCTGTTCTTTATATTCAGGGTCCCAGTGTCCTAGTATACTAATTCTTGGGATGATTTTCACAAGTTTATAATCTCTTGGTAAGATCTTCTCATTCTTTTGATCCTCAGCACTGTCTTTTCTAGCTTCAGCGTCAGCCTCCTAGGTATGATGTTTTAGAATTTGATGTTCAACCCTGTGTTGACTTTATTCTTTCATGATATTAAATATTGAAACATATATTTCTTGGTCAGCACCTCTGTTGGTTGCCAAACCCTCATGTTAAAAATGCATTTCATACAGTGGCTTCTCTTCACCAGCTCCTCTTCTCTTAGTATTCATTACTCAGAGCTTGTTTTTTTCTTTTTTTCTTTTTCCTCCTCCTGCTTCTGATGCCAACTTGGAAGTGGCCAAAGTAAGTTTTTGCAGAAGGGTTAGAGAAACATTATATTCTATATAATCAAATTCTGTTCATCATTTGCCAGTAGTGGTTCTGTAGTCCTTGTTGTGAGGGTCCATGTCCATTTTTGGCCCATAAATGGCAGTTCCTGTTACTAGGTATGAATTAGATAGACTATTTTTTTCTTAAATATATCCCTCAGTTTAAGAAAATATATTTTCTTAAATATAGAGTCAGTCAGCTTTCAAGCTCCTTTTTGTTTGTTGATTTACACAGTCTCCTGAGATCTTCCCATTTTTGGCCTCCAGTGAGGGTTCTGTCATTTGAAAATCTAGCTGGAAGCCCTTCATTCAGGCAGTTCGGGTAGTAATTAATGGAATCTTTATGATTTCTAGCTCAGTAGGTGGTGTTTGAGTCCTCCCTTCCCTGTTTAGGCCTCCTTGGTCTATAGTGGGACAGTTAAACGTGTGTAAGAGCCTCGCAAAGGCTTTTTGAGAAAGTTAG